CTGCCCCTCCAGCATACGCAGCCGCTCTACGGCTCGGGGAGGCCGCACGACCTGCAGCACCAGCAGCACCTGCAGCAGCCGCTGCTGCAGCAGCAGCCGCTGCAGCAGCAGCACCCAGTCTACGGGCAGCCAATGCACCCGCCTCCCATCGACATGCATCAGCAGCAGCTACAGCCGCTGCAGCTACAGCAGCAGCAGCAGCAGGTGCTGCAGCAGCAGCAGCAGCCGCCTGCTCCTGCTGCTCCTCCAAAGTTCCGCATACGGCTTCCCATGCAGCCCTCGCAATAGCTATCGTTAGCGTCAGTGCAGCATTAGCTGCTGCTGCTGCTTCTGTTGCAGCATTACCTGTTGCTGCATTTGCTGCTGCTACTACTGCAGCTTTAGCTGCTGCTTCTGCTGCCGCTTCTGCTGCAGCAGCAGCTGTATTAGCAGCATGCGCGGGTGCTGCAGCGAGGAAGAAGAATAGAAGCGTGAAGATAATTTATTTGGTGTTTTTAGGGTTTTTCCTTCCTTGTTTGTTTTCTTACGCATTGGCGACTGCTGCAGACGCACAGTTTAATACTTTTATATGTATACGAATAATAATAATAATATTATATTATTATTATAAGGATGATATTATCATTATTCTCTGCAGCAATTTATTAATATAATAGTAATAATAACAATAATAATATCTAATAAAATAATAGAAGTAATATTAATATTATAAAATATAATAATAACGGTAGGCCTTTATATGCTTATATGATGGCTTACAAAACGCAATAAATGAATACTACTGAAACCCCTCTAAACCCTAAACCCTAATCCTCTAAACCATAAACCCTAATTCTCTAAATTCCAGCCCCAAACCCTAAACACTAATTTTTAAAACCCTAAATTTCCTAAACCCTAGCCTCTAAACCCTAATTCTCTAAACCCTAGTAAACCTAAACCGTAAACCCTAAACCCTAAACACTTTCTCTAAATATCAATGGCAGCAAAGAGCCAAACAGGCAACAGCCTCATGTAACTTCCAAACAGCTGCTCCCCGCTGCGGAGGGTCCGATGCAGTTAGTTAGCTAGCTGGCTAGTTAACTAGCTGCATCGGCTAGCTAGCCAGCTAGCTAGCTAGACAGCCGGCTAGCTAGACAGCTAGCTAGATTGACAACTAGCTAGCTAGTTAAGTAGACAGCTAGCTAGCTAGCCAGCTAGTTAAGTAGACAACTAGCTAGCTATGCAGCTAGCTAGCTAGTTAAGGGCTAGCTAGGTAGCTCGACAGCTAGCTAGCTAGCTAAGGGTGGTTTGCGCTGCTAGGGTTTGTGAATCCTTCCCTTCTCTTTCTCACTCCCGCTGAACGTTCAGGCGAGTGCTTTGGAAGGACGACTTGAGATTTAGGGTTTGGGGGTTAGGGTTTGGGGGTTAGGGTTTAGGGTTTGGGGTGTATAGGCTCGTCTACAGCCCCCGCTGCAGCAGCAGAAACCGAAAACCAGGGATGCCGCAGCGCCGCTTCTGCCGATAGACGCTCCTGCAGAAAAACCCTAAGCCCTAAACCCTAAACCCTAAAAAACCTAAACCCTAAACCCTAAACCCTAAACCCTAAACCCTAAACCTCCCGCCCTGGTGAGCCAAAGCTGCGCCCAAGCCCTCCAGTAGTGTCCTACATCCCAAACCCTAAACCCAAAACCCTTAAGACCCTAAAAACCTAAGCCCTAAACCCCAAACCCTAAACCCTAAACCCTAAGCCCTAAGGACCTGAGGATCGAAGGCCAGCAGCTTTCTAAGAAGGTCACGAGCCAACGGATTTGGCACCCCAACGCCCGCAGGGTCTCGACTTCTTAATAGCTCCGCGAACTGCAGCAGCAACAGCAGCAGCAGCAACAGCAGCAGGAACATGACGAACACAAGCATAAGGGCAAAACGTAGCAGTAGCGTCTGCAGCAGCAGCACTGTGGGCTATAAATGCAGCAGCAGCAGCAGTAGCAGCAGCAAAAGCAAGAGGCAGCAAGCCACACGAATAGCAGCAGGCAGCAGCATCATGCTACACCTGCCGCCGCATTAACAGCAGCAGCAGCACCACCACCAGAAGCCGCAGCAGCAGCACCACCACCACCACCAGAAGCCGCAGCAGCAAGCAGAAGCAGCAGCAGCACCACCACCACCAGAAGCAGCAGCAGCAGCAGCAGCAGCAGCAATAGCAAAGATTTACAACAGAGTCGTCGCATTCCTGGTGGTTTTGTCTTGCTGGCTGCGTCCCCCACATATTGTTGAACTCCTTTTCAGGCTCCTCCTCAAAGGCCTCCAAGAGGCCTCGCTGCAGCAGCAGCAGCTGCTGCTGCTGCTGTTGCTGCTGCAGCGCGTGCTGCTGTGGTCGCACAACCACCTCACCGCCACCCCCGGTACCCAGCAGCCGCGACAGCAGCATGAAGAATTTATTGCTGCCAGCAGCGGACTCCTAAGGGAAGCACAAGCAACAGCAACAGAAGCAGCAGCAACAGCAGCAGCAGCAGCAACAGCAGCAGCAGCAACAACAACACCCCCACTATGTGTTATTTGCCTTTAACTCCGGGCCAAACATCGCACTCCCCTTCCCTTTCACAACTCTACATAATATATATATATATATATATATAATATATATCCGTATATACATGTAGTATATATGTACCTATATACTATATATATCTTTTTATATGAATATATGCATAAAGCATATATATATATATATATATACACGCAAGCGTACATAATTGCTGTTACAGATGTATATTCTGCATCTTTATGTGCATAAATATAAATGTATATCATGCAACTAACTGTAAAGATATATAATAATAATAATAATTATTATTATTATATGTATGGTCTATATATATACACTGTGAAGGCACGATATATATTTACTCATATATACATCTATGCACATAGATATATATATATATATACATATATATACATATTTATTTATTTATATATTTAGGCGGCTGCTGCTGACGTCATGAAGAGTCTTTCTCTCCAGCTCCACCCCCGTTGCGTTTGCTGCGAGGAGCTCTTTGTGCTGCTGCTGCTGCTGCTGTTGCTGCTGCTGCTGCTGCCTGTCTCTGTTAGGGGCGAACCAGCTGACGTAGAATCGCTCAGCAGCAGCAACGATAGCAGACCGAAAAGACGAGAATAAAGAATTGGGTGCAGCAGAAGCAGCAGCAGCAGCAGCAACAGCAGTGGGAACTGCAGCAGCAGGCACTCTGTCTGAGGGCCAAGGCAGCAAACACAAATCCTTCAGCGCCAGCAGCAGTAGATGCTGCTGCCGCACAGCAGCAGGCTGCCCGTGATACGAACGATACAGCTGCAGCAGCCGCACACAACGCAGCAGCAGCACCAACAGAAGCACACACTCTCAACGCGCTGCTGCAGCACTTTCATGCAAACAACTAAGGCAGCAGCAGCAAAGCCAGCACCTGCAAACGGCCAGAATGCGGACGACAGCAGCACCAGCAGCAGCAGCAACAGCAACGGCAGCAGCAGCAGCAACAGCACCAGCAAAACACCTGCAGCAGCAACTCGGCTCAACACAAAGGACCCTGTGGAGCACCACGAGCCACAAGGCCTCCAGAACAAGCAGCAGCAGCAGCAGCAACAGCAGCAGCAGCAGCAGCAGCAGGCCCTTACTCTGGCTGTCCGCCTGCCGTCTAGCGGTTCGAGAGGCGACGGACTTCCAATCGCCAACTTCAAAAATATTAACCCCACACCCCACATGTCGTAAGAAGGAGGCCGATGCAAAGAACCCTTGCTGCTGCTGCTGCCGCTGCTGTCACCGCTCCCGCTGCGCTTGCTGTCAGCGCAGTCTTCAGAGCATTGCTGCCCCTGCTGTTGTTGTTGTTGCTGCTGCTGCTGCTGCTTTGCCTCCAGCTCCGCCTGCGCTGCAGCCTCAGCCCAAACCTCCGGGGGCTGATAGCCCTCAGACTCCTCAAGCACAGACAAGATTTCCTCCCCCCACAGCTCCTTTAGCGCTGCAGCAGCAGCGGCAGCAGCAACAGCAGCAGCAGCAGCAGCAATAACAAGAGCAGCAGCAGGAGATTAAGAGTGGAAGCTGAGCGCAGTGCATCACGCGTTGTGTATCGGCGTTGCATTTTTCGGTGTATACCGTCAACAGCAGCTAACATACCACATGCCTGCATGCAGCAGCAGCAGCGGCAGCAGCAGCAGCAGCAGCACGCGCTCTGCTGCTTCATAGCTCACCAGCAGCTACAGGAGAATCCTCATTGTTGCTGGCAGCACTACCCCAGTCGACAAGCCGCACTGACACCGGAAGAGAAGCTTGCACAAGCACATTCTCCTAAACAGCAGCAGCAGAAGCAAAGACACAGCAGCAGCAGCAGCAGCAGCAGAAAGATATTGTGCACGGGCAATACGGGCAAGGGGAGTCCTCTCGGAGTTGTGCTGCTACGCCCCCAAGTGGTTTTACTTGTTTCTATTTCTTCTCTTCTATTTCTTTATCAGCTGTCTGTGCTGCTGCTGCTGCTGCTGCTGCTGCTGCTGCGCCCCACAGTTGCAGCCTTACAAGCTTCACGTCTCTGTGCGTAATGTTGAGAGCATGCGCCGCTTTCAGCGCCTGCAGCAGCTGCTGCAGCACGGAACGAATAAACAGCAGCAATTCGCTTGGGTTCTGCTGCAGCTGCAGCAGAAGAGGCAGGAACGGCGCATCGGTTCCTGCTGCTGCTGCTGCTGCAGCAGCAGCAGCAAACTGCCGCACACGGCGAGGCGGCGGGTGATGACGTGCAGACGCCTTCAAGTACCACCACAATGCGTTCTGCAGCAGCAGCAGCAACAGAAACAGCAGAAGCAGCAGCAGCAGCAGCAAGTACGGCACTGAGGCGGTTGAATGTGTAGCAGGGGAAAAAATCGAAGAAGCAGCAGAAGCATCGTTTAGGTGTACTACTGCTGCTGCCGCCACTGTTGGTGCTGCTGTTGCTACTGTTGCTGTTCCTGCTGCTGTTGCTGCAGCTGCTGTTGCTGTTGGTGCTGCTACTGCTGCTATTGCTACTGTTGCTGTTGCTACTGCTGTTGCTCCTACTGCTGTTGGTGCTGCTGCTGCTGCTGTTGCTGCTGCTGCTGCTGGTTGCTTACTGGTGTCAGCATGCCGCTGCCAGCAGTATCTGCAGCAAAGAAGAGAGGGGTGAGAGAGATTCCTTCATTTGCAAACACAAGCCAGCGGCTGCAGCAGCTCTCTCTTGCGCTTTCAGCTGCTGTCTTGAGGTCTTCTAGCTTCATCTCCGGCAAGAAAGCTGCAGCTGCTGCTGCAGCTGCTGCTACTTCAGCCTCAGCAGCAGCAGCAGCTGCTGCTGCGCTTGCTGTTGCTGCTGCGCTCCCTCCTGCTGCTCCTGATGCTGCTGCCCCGTCTAATGGTAACAAAGCAGCAGCAGAGCCAACGCCTGAAGAAGCGGAGGAGACTGCTGGAAGAACTTCAACAAACCGCGACACGTGAGGGGCCCCTCGCAGCAGCAGACCTGCAGCAGCAGCAGCAGCATATCCAGATGCACATCCACAGCAGCAGCAGCAGCAGCAGCAGCAAGCCAGCAGCAGCAACGGCAACGGAGATGGCTATAGAAACAGACCCACCAAAAAACACCTCACGGGCGAAACCTCGCCGAACCCTCGCTGCCTCCTCCTGCAGCAGCAGCAGCTGCTGCTGCTGCTCCTGCTGATGTTCTCCACTTCGCTGTGCTGAAAAGGCGTCGCAGCGCATGCGTTTCAAGACCGCGTCTTCAAATGGAGCTTCGCTGTCGAGAGACACCGCACGCCACACCTGCACATACAAGCAGCAGCAGCAGCAGCAGCAGCAGCAGCTTTACGAAAGCCAGCAGCAGCAGCTGGTGCTGCTGCAAGTGGAGGGCTAGGAACCCTTTTGCAGCTGCTGCGGAGGGCCCCCCACCTCTCCATAGGCGCCACCACCTAATCGTCCGAAGAGGCGATAACGGGACCCGTTGCTGCTGCTACTGCTGCTGCTGCTAAGTGGGGGCGGCAGTGAGGGGCGGCCCAGCCAGAAAGGGAAGGCCCTCAGGATTCTGCAGCAACAAAACAAAGCGACAAACCACCTTCTTTTTGATGTTTGTTTAGCAGTAGCTGAGATGCCCCGCAAACTCGTATATCTGCTGCTGCTGCTACTGCTGTTGCTGTTGTTGTTGCTGCTGCTGCTGCTGCTTCTTACATCAAGGGATCCACGCAGAAGCCTTCTGCCCCCGAGCGCAGCTGCCTCGACAGAACGACGTCGGAGCGTACAGACACCACAGCTGCAGCAAGTGCTGCTCCTGTTGGTGTAGCTGCTGCTGCTGTTGCTGAACCAGGCAGCAGCAGCCGCTGGTGAAGCCCCCATCCAGGCAGCAAACGCGAAGCATCTGCTGCTGGCGGGACAGCGGTCTGTGACTGGTAGCTGCCGCTCTCCTCGTAGCAGCTGCTGCTGGCAGCAGCAGTAGAATCAGCATCAGCAGCAGCAACAGGAGCAGCAGCATCGATAGCAGCAGCCCCTGGGTATATCTGCAGAAGCCCTGAGGGTCTTTCTTTATATTCGTCAGCGGCCTCAAGGGCCCACAGGGGGGGGTGTAGCAACTCAAGCAGCAGATATTTGCCGTCTATAAGAGAGCCCCTGTCTATAACCCTTTCTTCCTTCTTCTCTTGGTAATGATCTCGTACGCTGTTGATATCTTCTGCTGTCTGTACACCTCCGTCAGTCTCAGCCGCTGGAGGTGCCGAGTGCTGCAGAGCCTTCCATGGAGCAGAATCCCCAAAGGCTGCCTCACTGGTGGTGCTGCTGGTGCTGTTGCTGCTGTTGCTGCTCTTGATGCTGTTGCTGCCTCGGGCAACGGATGCAGCCGCAAGACGCTCAACGGAACCATCTGGGACTCCGCAGCTGCTGCAGCTGCTGCTGCATGCGGCGCTTACAAGCAGGAGGAAGAAGCTCACTGTGCAGCAGCGAAGGAGGGAGGCAGCAGCCGCAGCAGCAGCAGCAGCAGCAGCGGAAGCAGGAGCAGCAAGCGGCATCTTCAGCAACAGGGGCCCTACGACTTTTCAGATGCGTGCATGCGGGGGACCTGGGTTATGATGCAGAAAAGGCTGCATTGCTGCACTTGAGATGCGTTGTTGCTGCTGTGCGTGCAGCATCCCGCTGCCAGACCCGTAGCAGCAGCAGCGGCTGCAGCAGAGAGGAGCCTCACGACCTTCGGAGTTAGCCTGCCCACAGAAGACAGCTGAGATAAAACTTTTACAAACGCTGCAGAAAAGAGTTCTTCTTAGAGCTGTAGATGATGATGAAGATGCCCTGCAGGCATTCAAGAGGCTGCGAAGAGGGGGTAAAGGGGTTGCCGGTTTCCTATTATATTAATTGTATATCGAAGTATCTAGAGTTTAATACTTTGTTTTTAAAGAAGTATATTTAAATTCAATTAACTTCCCTGCTCCCCAACAAGAAACCCAACGTGAAGGAATCTGTTGCCGCCGCCCGCCTGCCGGTGGGTTGCCCACTGGGGGCCCCAGGTGTCTGTCTGTCGGGCAAGAAGAGAGTGAAAAGCTCCTAAAAAGGAATTTTAATTCGTTTAATAAAACAAATAATGCAAAACTCTGTGCGTTTTATCATTAATGAGGCTCATTTACCTTCCTCTTTGTGCAGCTTTCCCGCTCGGCTGTACTGAATTCACTGTCTGTTAGACCACCGCATCCTCTGTGTGTTAGTGGAAGCCGGCGAGGGAAGAAGGCCCTCAATCTGCAAATCGGGGGCATTTCGTTCATGTTTTACTTTTAAAATGAATAAATAAAGGTGTTTTTATTTATTTTGAAGAGAATTATTCCTTAAACTTTTCTTATTTCGGAGAACTGAGCAACCTGCCCAGCAAAACTCCGCACGACGAAGCGAGCCGGGCTCCATGATATTGAGGAGAGCTTGCCTTCAGATCTTTGATTTTAATTGTGAGTTTAAATTTTTGAATGTTAATTTCTTCTTTTATCCTATTTATTTCCTCAATATTAAACAACAAATGCCTTTATTCGCCTGTTTCCCTCATCGACATCTGCCGGCGTTTCGGAAGTGCCTTTGAGACACTCGAGTCAACTTAAGCGGAATTTCAACCCCTTGTGGCTGCCGATGATCAATTAGAGATATATTCACTGTTTTTTGCTTCTTCTTGCACTTCGAAGGACTCCCTGTCTACACTCTTAGAAGCTCCTTATGCAGCTTCTGGAGCTGCTGCAGCTGCCCCTTATTTATTGTATTGGTGCTTGCTTCGTGGCGTTATGCTTTCATTAGTTTTTTATATTTGTTATATTTCTGTATTAATGCATTGAAAGTTTTACAGTGCACGTACACCTGAGTTGTGTGTGGGTGTTTGACTGTTTTTTCTGCTTCTTCTTTGAGGGTTTCTGCACGATGCGGCCTCGTGGAGTGGTTTGCAGTATGTGCGGTGGGGAATTCTTTGAGCGCTCGTTGCCTATACACCAGAAAACATGCGCTATAAAGCAGCAGCACATCTTTCTGCCCTGTCAGTACTGCGGCAAGGAAGTGCAGAAGCTGCAGCTGGAGCAGCATTTCCGGGTTTGCCCTAAGGCTGCTGCTTACCAGAACCGCAGCAGCAACAACAGCAGCAGCAGCAGCAGCGGGGGTGATGGTGGCGTGGGGGTTGCTGCTGCAGCATTTGACTCCCAGGGGAGGCTTCAGTGTGCCTCTTGCGGCCGATGGTTTGCTGCAGAGAGAGTTGCGAAGCACCAGGATATTTGTTTGCGTATTAAAAACAAAAGAAGGCAGCCCTTTGATTCATATCAACAAAGAAAATTTGATCCTCTTATTCATAGAGTAGACAGAAAGACAAACGCTGCAGACCCATGCGGTGTACAGACACCCCACAACAATCCTTCTCAACCCCCAAACAAAAACCGCGCTCGTAACAGCCCTGCGGCTGCAGGAAGCCCTGCTGCTGCTGCTCGGCATTCTGCTGCTGCTGCTGGCGGGCGTCCTACAGCTACTGCTGCTGCACGCCGTGCTCCTGCTGCTGCTCCTACTGCCGGCCGCCTTGCTGCAGCTGTTGGGCGTGCAGCAGCAGCAGCACCTGCAGCAGCAGCAAGGCCAGCAGCAACAAGGATTGCTAGGGCCTCTGGACCTATCTCTGAGACGAATGCATGCAGCTTAGATAATCCCCTGGCTTACCCCAACTACCCATCATAATAAATTAAATTTCTTTATCTTAATAATGCTGCGCTCACTTAGTCAGAAGCCACCTGCTGCAGCAGCAGCAAGAGCAGCAGCAAAACCACCTCCAGATGTGAGCCGTTTGCTCCCTGCAGCGGTCCGTAGCAACGCAGTAAGTGCTGCTCTTTTGTTTATTTTGTTTGTTTTCCCTCAGTTGTTTGTTTTTCTTTGTCTCCTTACTTTTACTACTTTTTATTTCGTTTGTTGGGGTGTCTACGCACCTCTACTTATTTGTATACTTGTTCATGCAGATAACTCAGGAACTCCTTTCTCCTAAACCCTAAACCCTAAACCCTAATATATCTTCTGAGGCCTGACGGTTCGAGGGGCCATACCACCGCCACTTCTTCGTTGCTACAGCCTCCAGCAAACCCTAAACCCTAAACAGCAACTGAAGGCGCCCACAGGGGCCCTCAAGAACAACTAAGGGCCCCTAAGGACAACTACGGGCCCCTAAAATCAACTAGGGGCCCCTAAGAACAACTAGGGGGCCCCCTTAAGGGGCCCCTAAGAACAAATAGGGGACCCCCTTAAGGGGCCCCTAAGAACGACTGCAGGACTCCTTACAACACCCCAGGGGTCCCTGAGTGCTTTATAGGTCCCCTAGAGCCAACCTAAGGGCCCCTAAAAACAGTTTAAGAGCCCCTAAGACTTCTTAGGGCCCCTTAAGGATATTCTAAAGGGGGCCCTAGGGGCTGCTGAAGTGCCTCTTAGGTTCATTAAGATTATTCAAGGGCCCCAGAGGCCCGTAGCAGCCACAGAGCTCCTTTATAAACCCCAAGAGGTATTTAGGGGCCCCCGAAGGCCCCTATATAACTCTACAGGCTCCTGAAGGAGGCTAGGGGCCCCTAGAGAAGGCCCCTCACCGAGTCTAGGGGCCCCCAAATAGCTCTAAAGGGGCCCCGTAAGAAGCCTGAGGGCCCCTATAGAAGCCTTAGGGCCCCTATAGAAGCTTAGGGGCCCCCATAGAAGCCTACGGGCTACTACAGAAGCCTAAGGGCCCCTATAGAAGATGTCTGAGGGCCCCTGGATGGGTTTAGGGGCCCCTAAAGGAGATGAGGGGCCCCTCGACTGCTTTAAGAGTAGTATGAAGGCGAGTAATAAAGAAGCAAGATTTAATTTGTTTTCTGCAGGGCCTTAAGAGCCCAACATAGATGAAGGGAAAGACGCAACCTTTGTGCTCTTCTGTACAATCTGGCTGTCTTTTATATAGGTAACCCTGCACTTAAGCAGCAGCGGCTTATCCTGCTGGCTTGTTCCTGCTGCTGCTGCTGCTGCTGCTGGGGCAGAGGTTATCCTGAGGCGCTGCCGCACTGGAGGGCCCCCCGGGGTGACTTCTGTTGCAGATGGGGGCTCCAGCTGCAGCTGAAGGTATTTAGGAACAGCAGCTTCGAAGCGAAACTGCTGCAGCGGTGTGCTGCCAGCAGCAGCAGCAGCAGCAAACGTTGCAACCACTTCACACGCCCCTATCCCTGCTGCGCAGCACTCAAGCATTATTACGAGGCCCTCTTCATTTAGAACCTGCACCGCAGCAACACCTCCAGGCCCTACAGTTGCTACTGCTGGTCCATCTGCTGCTCCTCCTGCTGCTCCTCCTGCTGCTCCTGCTGCTGCTGCTGCTGGGGAAGGCGGGCTCATCGCGGTTGAACTCAAAGCAACCGCAAGCGGAGACGAAGAGACGTCTCCCGCTGCTGCTGCACCTACTGTTGCTGCTGGTGCTGCTGCTACTGCTGCTGCTGAAGGGCTAAGCGGGCGGATCGATGACTCCAACAAAGAAGACAGAGGCTCCACTTGGCCTATCATGCCTGTAGGAGAGGTGTTTGCTGCTGTTGCTGCTGGTGCTGCTGGTGCTGCTGGTGCAGGTGCTGCTGCTGCTGACAAAGGGTTTGCGAGGTCTATAAGGCCAGCAAAAGGGTCCGCTGACGCCGTAGGAGCTCCTGCTGCTGCCGTTGCTGCTGGTGCTGCTGCTGCTGCTGCTGGTGCTGCTGCTGCTGCTGCATTGTGGTTACCCGTAGGAGAAGATACGGAGGCCCCCGCCAGTAAATCCGCCAGCAAATCCAAACCTCCGCCACCGTTGCTGCTGCTGCTGCTGCTGCTGGGAGCAGCAGCAGCAGCAGGCTGAGCAGCTGAGGGAGAGGCGGAGAGGCCTAGGAGATCGTCAAGCTCCAACAAATGCGCTGAAAAAACAATAATAAATAAATAAATTAAAAAAATAAATAAATAAATAAAAATAAATAAATAAATAGTACACAGAGATATAAATAAAGACACTAAATAAATAGTACACAGAGATATAAATAAAGACACGAATGCATATATAAATAAAAGCAGAGAAAAATAAAAAACGAATGATAAAAAAAGATAAACTTAAAGACAAACAAATACAAATAAATAAAGAAAGACAAACAAAAATATAATAATAAACAAAAATATAAACAAAGACAAATCAACAGACGAATAAAGACAAAACCAAGAAATAGAGAGTGCAGCAGCAGAAAGACGAACAAATAATAAATATAAAAATATATATAATATAGCAGCATACCCCCTGTGGTGCCGTTTGCAGTTTGCTGCTGCTGCGGAGCTGTAGAGACACCTGAAGAAGATATATCTGCTGCTGCTGCTGATTCAGGCTCTGGAGGGAGGTCTGCGAGGTCAAAGTACACCTCTCCAATGGGCTTCTCTTGCTGCTGCTGCTGCTGCTGCTGCTGCTGCTGCACCGGCATGCGAGCGAAAATAGCTGCTAAGTCCTCAGGCTGCCATTCGTCTGACTGCAGCAGCGCTGCATACTCCGTGCTGCGCTGCTGCACCTCCAGGTTGCTGCTGCTGGTGAAGGGCTGCAGCAGCTGCACCAGCCGGTCCCGCTGCAGCAGCAACAGCAGCAAATCCAACAGCAGCAAATGAAGCAGCAATGATACAAACAGTAGAAAGAGACAGAGAAAGACAAAGAAAAGGAAAAACACAAGAACAGACGGCAACGAAAATGCTGCTGCTGCTGCTGCTGCTGCTGCTGCTGCTACTCCTGCTGCTGCTGCTACTCCTGCTGCTGCTACCCTATTGCTGCTGCTTCTGCTTCTGCTACTGCTGCTTTTACTGCTACTGCTGCCTCTACTACTGCTGGTGCTACTGCTGCGGCTACTGCCACTGCTCCAGCTGCTAGTGCTGCAGCTACCGCTACTGCTGCTACTGCTGTTGCCGCTGCTGCTGCTGCTGCGGCAACTACTGCAGCAGCTTCTGCTGCTGCTTCTGCTGCTGCTGCTGTTGCTGCTGTTACCTGCTCGGGTAGTTT